TACCCAGCCCCACCCACCACTCATTGTGTGTGGGGAACCTGCCTACCCACCCCCGCCTACCTGTTGTACGTGGCGGCGTCCGGGTTCTCCTCGCCGCCGTACTCCGGCGTGCCCGGGTCGCGCGTCACCGTCATCGGCGAGCGGAGGGCGTCGCTGACGAAGTAGTAGCCCGAGGTCACCTCCCCAACCGAGGCAGCGCATCATGCGGACGATACTCAATAGTGGTGAATGATGAACAAGTAGGGGCGGAAAATTGTGTTTTGCGGTGCACAAAATTCTTTTTCGCGTGTACATATATGGGGGAGGAGCGAGGAGGCGCTGGCGGCGCGGGTGGCGAGCGCACGCGCAGATGGGGATCGGCAGGACGGCGGAGCCGAGTGCGGCCTTGGGGTCGGAGGGTCCGGGGAGGGCGGGGTGGGTCGGGACGGGGTGGGGCTTTGGGGAGGGGAGGGTCCGGGGAGGGTGGGGTGGGCCGGGGCGGGTTGGGGAGGGGTGGGGCGGGCCGCGGGTGTCGGAGGAGGGGAATTCGGACGGCGGCTTTTGTGGCGAGGACGACGCCTTCTACGGAAGCCGTCGTCTGCGCCTTGTCTGTCGTGTGAATCGTGCGTGTGCGACCCCTTGTTGGCGCCGAAATTACTTTTTTCGCCTCTCAGCGCTCGGCTCCTGGGTTCGGACTTTTTGCGGGGTAAGTATGGTAGCATCGGCCAACCCACCTCGAGACCATACCCCCCCGCCTGCTGACAGACCTCCAGCCTCCCGCCGACGGGACCCCCCCCCCCCCACCCCCTCGCCCCACCGCCGGCCGCCTTACTGTTAGGCTCCAGGAGGCTGCAACCAATTTGGTCTTGGACGGCTGGCGTTAGAGAGATCTTTTGCCGAGCAGTCTGAGCGACGGCTATGTGTTGATTCGCGCGACATTGAGGCGCTCCGCAACCAGAAGGGTGTCGGCGATTGGAGCGTGGAGCAGCTGCAGCAACTCCGCGACACGGGCGCCTGTTCCTTCCTACCTCATGGCGCTGCGGGCTCGTCGGCAGTAGAGGGAGGGGCCGAGGGACCATACCCCCACCCCTGTCGAGGGCTAGCCTTGGGCGGTCAGGACCATACCCCCCCACCCAAGCGCATACCACACCCCGCAAAAAGTTGGAACCCTACCTGACCTCCCACTTCAGCCTTCCACTCGAATACAACCCTCTCCATCCAGCTCTCCTGAGGCCTAAGGTGTTAAAAAATGTAGCGAGCACACACCAAGTGCGTATATCACTCAAAAGCCAATGTGTACGCCAATGGCTCGCTTCACGAGAAGCGCCGGCTCAACTTTGCGTCGGTGCAGCCTGGCGACCTTGTACTTTTTAGAAATGAGCCACACCTGGCGCAAATGAGCCGCTTTCTAAAAAGTACAAATGAGAAACGATGGTTGCGCGCGCTTCTATACCAAGACATGGCCAGGACTGTGTGCCGCAGAGCGCACACACATGTGCCCGCACCGCCTGCCCTCCCACCACACCTACCGGGGATGTGAGGGCACTGGCGCCCAGACAGGCCGTGGAGAGCAAAGCGTCTAATTCTACATGCGAGGTTGGCGATCGGCGCGCCAGGTGTGGACTCGCACCGAAGGCAGTGTACATGCGTCCCAAATGTCGTGCGTGCCTACAGCTCTCTCCTCGAAGGCGCGCAGCCCGACAGGCCCCCCTAGGTGTTGCGCCGCTAGATGCCCAATTCCGTTTTCATCACGAGGCCACCACTCTTCCCATCTTGTCTGGCGCAATCCTAATCGCTCACGCCACACGGCGCAAGCAGGCCCATGGCGCCCCCTCCCGCAAACCTGCCTTGGGGGTCCAGTTGCAGTCGGTATGAGTTGAACGCCTGCTTCGTAGCGTCGGTGTAAATGTTACACACCGACGCGGCAGCGAACGCTGTCACGTACTCGCTGTCGTCGGCCTCGAAGCCCCACTCCTTCGCAACGTGCGGCACGGCTCCCAACGGCATCAGAGCCTTCTCCATGGCGTAGAAGGCCTTCATCATGTCCTGATTGTCGGCTGGGTCCGCACCAAGGGTGCTCGGCGAGAGGAACTCGACGACTCCGTATGTGCCGGGGGGCACGATGGTCAGAGTGGCGTCGTCAGTCACACGCACGAAGCGCATCTCGAAGGGGAAAGACCAGGTGAAGGTGGGCGTAGATGCCGCCGCCGCCGAGCGCGCGACAGCATCCGACCTCATAACGTCGAGGGCCGCAGACAGGTTGGAAATTGGTACAAAGTATGCGGCGTAGTAGATGTTCCTTGGAGTGGGATTCATCCCCAGAAAACCGTCGTTGCCAACGTTCTCCGCCAGCCCCCGCCGGATGACCCTGAAGGTCTCCGGTGTCAGAACGGATGCAGGGAGGTTTAGTGGGAGATCGGCCGCACTTGGTTGCCCCCACCGAGCGATCGACTCAAACAATGGCGCCTGGATGGAGAAATCAGGCTGCAGTGGCTCCTCTGTCCCCTCTGTGTTGAGCTGAGCGTACTCGCCGACCGTAGGTGTTGCGGATGGAACGTCGGGAAAAGTTGCGTTGCCATTCATCAAAGTGACAACCGCTCCAAAGCTCACCTGCTCAGGCGAGGTCGACATGTCCATGAAGAACTGCCCGGAGAAGGCTGATTGGCTCCCAGCCGCTGCGCCGGGCGGCTGGAGGCCAGCCATGGCGTCGGACACTACAAAGTCCCAGAAGTTGGCCTCGCTCCATGGAAAAGAGCGGCTCACGTAGATCACCTGGAAGGCAGAGACGGAAAGCAGCGCGAACTCGATCGCCGTGATGATTCCGAGCAGGCCGTACGAGTTGCGCCACATGCGAAGCTCAGATTCTGAGGTGATGTGGTGTATGACCCCATCCGCCGTCATCACGCGGAGACTCTTAATGTTCTTGCTGACAAAGGACGCTTCATAGACGCCGCCATGGACGCTGTTCGCGACCATCCCGCCCAGCTGGAAGATCGGGAGCGCCGTCTGCGTCGGAAGCGTGTAGCCTGCGGGCCGGATGCGAGAGTAGAGCTTGAACTCGCTCCAGCCCGCGTTAACACGCACGGTGGAAGCGGGCTCGTTGAGCTCGTACTCCCAGTTGCTAGGCGCGGTGTAATTGGCAAGCGAGACCACGATCGTGTTCTCGTCGGTGCCGTCGGTCACCGCCGCAAACTGCGTGCCGGTCGCACCGCCCGGCCGGACTGTGTAGTTGTGAGCCTGTGCATACTCGAGGATCTCTGCGAGGTCCTCGTCGCTACTAGGCATGAGCCAAGGCACGCACGTGCGGAAGCTTTGTTGCCAGTTTGACCAGCGAGCCCCGTACGCGCCCCCGGGGGCAAAGTAGGGTGCGTCGGCCTGCGCGCTCCCCTCGCCGCCCGATGCGGAGCACTGTTTGGAGAAGGAGGTCTCCGAGTTCAGGGTTGGCTGCGGAATGCTGGCAAACGTCGGGAAACGCTCGGCCGGGACGGGGTTGGCTGGGTTCGTAACCACCGCGGGGAGAAAGAGGGGCAGGATCATGATGACGCACTCCTGCGGACGGAGGCAGTCGGTCCGATGAGCGGATGGGCTCGGCCGAACGTACTGGGCGACAGGCACTACAGAGGGCCGAGAGCAAATCTGGCCACAAAGAGTTACGGAGGTGCCATACCCGGTTCTCTACTCTGAGAGCGTCTTTGAGGGGGCATGGAGAGGAGGGGGGCTCAAGAGGGCCGCACCTACTCGCAGCGTACGCAGCTTGAGGCCCAGCCTGCAAGACGCCGCGGCGGTTCCCCTCGCCCCACCTTGTTTTCGACCTGCGTGCGCACGAGACGGCGGCCGAGCGTCAGCAGCATAAAATGGGATGAGCACGGCGCGGGCTCGCTTCGGGCGCCGCGGGAGCGCAGTAGGCATGGAGGCGATTCGCGGCTGCGCGCTGGGCCGTCGCTCTGCCCGCGATCCGGGTGTGCGCCAGATTCTAGTCGCTCGAGCCTCGGAACGAGCCGCGCGCGGGGCGTTTGCAGCAAGGGAGGCACAGGCACGAGCGCGCTGCAGCGCATGGGGTGTTGGGCCTTCTTGCGGCCGGGCACGCTCGCGCAAATGCCTACACGCGTTGCGGGGCGCGGAGGAGAGGGGAACCTGAGAGTTAACGTGCAACAACAGGCGCCGTGCACAACCACGAGAAGAGAATTTTTAGCAATACCAAACAACTCTAACACTCCCACGTCATTTGGGGCCTGGAGCCCTGTTCACGCGCGCGCGAGACGTGCAGACAGGGTTGCCAGGTGAGAGCGAATGGCGCGGTTCACGCCTCGCACAACAGAGAGAGAGATGCGCTCTGTGGTGGGACATAAAAGAGAGCGAGTACTTGGGCGAGTAGGCTGTGCGGTCAACGCTGCCGCGCGCGACTTTGCGCGCGAGGCGGCGCAGCTTGAGAACGGCGGTGGGCGAGAAGCCGCCGCCGAACGTCTCGTGGAGCAGCAGGTTGAAGTTGTTGCGCTTGACAAAGATCGCGTCGTGGTAGAAACCGCGATGCGCGCGCGCCTTGACGTAGCCGTGGCCGGTCTTGTGGGAGAAGGGTTGGCCGGGCTGCCCGCGCGCCTTGCAGCCCATGTTTAGGCGGCGGGCCTTCTCTTCGGTGTTGCCGAAGGCGTAGGAGTGGCCAACGGAATGGGGCGTGCCGCCACTCGAGGCGTTGCCAACGCCCGGCGAGGAGGTCTTGAGGAGGGGCGTCCAGAGCTTGATTTCATTCACTTCATCGCACCCCCCCGGTCCCGCATGGGGTTCTGCGAGGTCAGTCTTGTACCCCTCGTTGTACTGCCGGGTGAGCTCTGGTTTCTCCTTGTCGCCGTGCACGACCGGCGCGTTGGCCGGGGCGCGCATCGCGTCCGCCCAGGCGGCGAGGACGCCGTCGTGGGGCCGCTGGTGGTGGGCCTTGTTGTAAAGGTAGTCGCCGAAGAAATCGACTGGCATGCCCCGCTCGAGCGCGACCCGAAGGGTGGGAAGCGCCGCGGAGAGCCAAAGGCCGAGCTTCCGCTGGAGCTCGTCCTGGAGGGTGTCGGAGGAGAGGGCGGTGGCGTACGTACCGTCGACACGGACATCGAAGGCCTTGCCGGCGAAAGGCGTTGAGGCGGAGACGAAGCGCGCGGCTTCGCGGTTGTTGACGGCGCTGTCTCCGACGGACGGGTTGTTCTTGACGTGCCCAGTGTCGTGCGAGCGAGTTTCCTTGGTAAATTCTTTTCGTGGGTGGGCGCCGGAGTGGGAGTGGTGGTGTGACTGCTCCTGTGGTGCGGGCGACGGCTTCTGAGGAAGCCGTCGCCCGCGCCTCGCCTGTCGCGTGAATCGTGTCGTGCGACTGCCTTGTTGTAAAATTCTTTTCGTGCGGTCGAGTGCACGGAGCTAAGTGCCTCGCCGTCCTCGCGGGAGTCGCTTAGGCGGCTCCAGTGGTGTACCTGTGTTAGTGCCAGTGCGCGCCAGTCCCGTGCCCAGTGTTGTGCGAGGGAGTTTTGTTGTAAACTTCTTTTCGTGCGAGCGCCCCTTTTAGAATTCTTTTGAGAGCGCCTTCGTTGTTAATAATACAAGCCCAATGGTCCCTTTCGAGCGGTCCCCTGTCGCAGTCGCACACACGCACACGCCGCACCGCACCGCGCGCCCGCCCGCTGCCCCGCCCAGGCGGGAAAGAGATGAGGAGATGGGACAGCAAAGGAGGAGGCACAAACACGTATGGGCGGGTTCAGTTGTGCGGCGTACTCGCATAATGTGGGTAAACGAAAAAGTAGCGCCCAATTCGTCTACGTACGGCTTAGTGTGTGGTTGGGGTGGCCTCAGGCATCCCCAAGGGAGCCTCTGCGGTGCCACATAAGCAGCTTAGTGATTGTCGAGACTTTAAGGGATTCGTTTGAAGATCTCGCAAACAAGACAGACACTACTATGGTCACCAGTAAACGAAAATTCGACTTTGAGGGATAATATCTCAACAGACTGGGTGAGAGCAAGCATTATTATTGCATATTAGGCCGCATAAGGTCAGACTTGACCCCACAAGCATCCAGAACCCGATGCTCCGGCTCGACTGTGCCGGCACACTGCCTCCTCGCGCACGCGGCTAGCAGGCCGTTGCGGCCCGTGGTGCACCAGAGAGAGAGGTCGACGCGTTGCCCCCGCTGGCGACCCCGCGCGGCTCAGGCCGGCCAGAAGGTGTGTGGTGACGGCACCGTGGCAGGAGTGCGGAGATGAGCTCGCCGAACGCGAGCAGCAGATGGCCAAAGTGTGCCAGCGCGAGAGCCTCGCGAGCGGGCGCAGAAGGAGCTCGCCGTGACACGATGCCGGGCGGTGGTGGTGCTCTGGCGACTGTGCACAGTGGGCAAAGTCAGGCTGCAACAGGGCAGCACGATGGTAGTGCCCTGCTGCAGCCTGGCCTGACATGCACAGGGCGAACAGAGACACTACTATCGTCTGGCGCTCGTCACCGAATCTGGGCGAACTTCGACCGCCGCCACAGCTGGCCACGAGCACGCAGCGACAAAATGCTGACTGTACGGAAGTTGAGGCTGGTCGAGAGGAAGAGGCTGCCGTGCGAGCCGGCAGCTGGCTGGCTCGGGCGGACTGACTCCGGCGTGTTTTTTCGGCTTCTTCTTTCATAGTAGCGTATACGCTACTTTCGTTTACCCACATTCTGCGAGTACTCCTAATCTTTTTCCCTCCCAGCCGACGCTCGCGCTAGAGCTCTTCTCGTCGCTCGCCTCTCGGATGCTCGTCGGTCGAGGCGTCGTGTGTGCCCTCTGCGTCGCCGCCTCGACATTCCATCCTCCGGCACTCGCTGCACAAATTGACAGCAGCTCGCCGGCCGCAGTCGCTGCTATCTCGACGGACAGCGCGCCCGCGCGAAGCCGGGACGGCCGGTTCGTCGAGGTTACAAAGCAGCAGGCTGAGGCACTCAGGGAAGCGGCGAGCAAGGAGAAGTTGCCGACACCGCCGCCCGGGTCGGACCTCGAGCAGATGCTTTCGGCCGGGGGCGGCGGCAGCACCGATCCACGGGCCCATGCGAGGTGAGAGTGTGAGTCTGAGACGCGCGCCGCGCCGAACCACTTGTTACTTTTTACAATCGAATCTCATCTCCGGCAGAGCGCCGCCGCAGGGGCGGTCGGCAGCGCCAGGTGGCTCCGCACAGCATACGCGCTGACTGCGCGCATGACTCTATCGTTATGGTCCGCCGCCATGGCTGCTCCTCGGCGCCTCCCGCCGCCGGACGGGTCGGCTTCCGAGCCTGCGCGCCGCTCGACGGCGTCGCGGTTCGCGCCTGGCGATGCAGGGGTGCTACGTCGGAAGGGAAGGGGCGGAGTGCGGCGGAGGAGGCCCGCACCGCGGCGACGCTCGAGCTCGCGCCGGGCTGCCGCCTCCTCGCGCGTGCCGGCTGTCCCTCGCGGGAGCCGCGCCTCCGCCGCCTCCGCCGCGCGCGGCGCCTCCTCCGGTGCGCGAGGAAGCTTTGCCGGCGCCCCTTCTGCAGGGCCCGACCCGGCCGCCGCCGCCGCCGCCTCCCGCCCGCCCTCCGCCCAGCGCTGGAGGGCCGCCTCGGCGGCATCTACCCACGCGGGCCCGCGACCGCCCTGCTCCGCGCCGCCTCCCGCCACCGCCTCCCCGCCCCACCGGCCGGCCAAGCCCGCCGTGGCGAGCAGCCGGCGAAGCGCCTAAACGTGTCAGCAAGAGCTCGCGTCTGATGACCTAGGGTTAGGCTTAGGGTTAGGGTGAGGGTTAGGCTTAGGGTTAGGGTTAGGGTTAGGGTTAGGGTTAGGGTTAGGGTTAGGGTTAGGGTTAGGGTTAGGGTTAGGGTTAGGGTTAGGGTTAGGGTTAGGCTTAGGCTTAGGGTTAGGGTTAGGGTTAGGGTTAGGGTTAGGGTTAGGGTTAGGGTTAGGGTTAGGGTTAGGGTTAGGCTTAGGGTTAGGGTTAGGGTTAGGGTTAGGGTTAGGGTTAGGGTTAGGCCTAGGGTTAGGGTTAGGCTTAGGGTTAGGGTTAGGGTTAGCAAGCGCCTAGCAGTTAAAGCAAGAGCTCGCTTCTGAGGCCCACGGCCCACGAGCGACAGCAGCCGGCGAGAGGCGCCTCGGTCGCTCGGTCGGCGCTAGGCGGGAGATATGGGGAGATATGGGGAGATATGGGGAGATATGAGGCGCCTCGGTCGCTCGGTCGGCGCGTGCTGCTTCCTCCACCGCCTCGAGGCTGGCCGCCTCGAGCCTCCTCCGCAGCGCGAGCACCTGCAGGGCGGGAGCAGGGTGGGAAGGGCGGGGATGCGGGAGCAGGGCGGGAAGGGCGGGGATGCGGGAGCAGGGCGGGAGGGGCGGGGATGCGGGGCAGGGCGGGAAGGGCCGCCGGCAAGCGGCGCGAGGCAAACGCGCCTCCGCGGAAGCCGCGGCGGCGGCGGCCGACGCCTCCTCTGCCGCCTCCTCCGCCGCGCCCGCCCGCCGGAGCAGCGCCGCCTCGTCGACTGCGCCGCAGGCTGCCGCCGCCGCGCCGCCGGGGCCCGCTCCGGGGGCTCCAGACTCACCGCCGCCGCCGCCGCCGCCGCCTCCCTCGCTCCCGCCCCCGCCAGTGTCGGACGGCCCATCGCGTCGCTCGAGCGCGGCGGGCAGGAGAGAGCCGCCGCCCGCACGCTCCGGCGCGGTCGACTGCGGCGCGGCCGGCTGCAGCGCCAGGGACTGCAGCGCCGCCTCGGCACGAAGCGAGCGCGACTCGGCGGCGTCCGCCTGTTCACAGCAGTGGGTGTGAAGAGACGCCGTTCACACCCCTAAACTCTGCGCGACTCGGCGGCGTCCGCCCTCGCCGTCGCCTCTGCCGCCGCCGCACGCGCCTCCGCCACCTGCTCCGCCGCCTCCGCCACCGCCTCGGCCGCCGCCTCCGCCCGCCGCCTCCCCTCGGCCGCCTCCAGCCTCGCCGCCGCCGCCGCCGCCTCCGCCTCCTGCCGCTCCGCCTCCGCCTCGATGCGGCCGCGCCGCGCCTCCGCCACCCACGCGGCGCAGGCGGCGGCCGAGGCAAGGCCCTGCTGCGCCGCCTCGAAGGGATGGAGGTCCGGGGCCGGGTCGGGGATGCGCATTCCCGAAGCCCCGCACGGGGCGAAGGAGGCGGAGGCCGAGGCAAAGACGGTGTCGTCGGCGCGCCGCCGGCTGCTCCCCCGCGGAGAGCGGCGTGCCGCGCCCGCCTCGAGCGCTGCACCGCCCGCCGCTGCAGCCGCAGCTGCCGTCTCGAAGCGCGCCCGCGCCGCCGCCTCTGCCGCCGAGTGCCGGAGGACCGACGCGGCGGCGGCTTCGAGGCGAGCGCGCGCCTCTACCTGGCACCGCTGGTTCTGACGGTCGCATATGTCGTAGCCATGCGAGGCCGTCGGCGGCGGCAGCGGCGGCGGCGGTGGAGCTCGTGGCGGTGGTGGTGGTGGCGGCGGCGGCGGCGGCGGCGGCGGCGGCGGAGATGCAGCAGCGGCGGCGGTGGTTGAGGCGGCGGCGGCGGCGGCGGCAACTGCGGCAGCCTTTGCACGTGCAAGCGCCTTTTGCTTTGAAGCTAGGCTGGCTTCGAGCGCCTCGCAGCGTCGCTTCGCGGAGGCGGCCTCTCGACGAGCCGCGCCGGCTGCCGCCTCGGGCGACGGCCGGCGCGACCTGCGAGTCGACATATTCGTTTGTTGTGTATTCGGGAAAATAAATGGTAACTTTCTCAGCTCCCCGGCCCTGGATGTGAGGCTGCTGACTGCACTCCAAGTGCTCCAAAAACTCGGGGACCCGTGTTTACTTTAAGGCCCTTTCCCTGCGAACGCGCACCCCCGGGGCTAGGGCTCTCTTGCCCGCAACCCGACACCGATCATCCGGCCCGCTGGGTGCGCTTCTCAGCTCCTCGGCCCTGGATGTGAGGTTAATAACTGCACTCCAAGTGCTCCAAGTGCGGGCGCGGGTGCGGGATGCGGTGCGGTGCGTGCAATCGTGTGTTTGGCGTCATGTTGTGTGTGCCTTCGCTTGTTCCTATATTAACAACGAAGTCTAGCTCAAAAAATAAGAATTTTACAACAAAAGGCGGTCGCACGACACGATTCACGCGACAGGCGAGGCGCGGGCGACGGCTTCCTCAGAAGCCGTCGCCCGCACCACAGGAGCAGTCACACCACTCCCACTCCGGCGCCCACCCACTCCCCACCTCGACATCCCCACCCCACCCCACAACCCCGCCCCCCCCCCGATAAGAAAACGAGAATGTTCAAAAACGGAGCTCGGATGACTCATGAGATCCGCTTGGCTTTGCACATCGTCAGAAGAGGCTTGAGGCTGGCCGGCTCAGCGTGTACATGCCATCCACAAAGCGCGAATTGTTTTGAAGCCAAACCGGCCAATGCAGCACCGAAGCAAGGACCTTCTCCATCGCGCGCTCTGGGTTGGGCAGGCCCGCTGCAAGCTGCACGATGCCGTAGCGCAGCGTGTCGGCGTGTCCAGAGTTGTGGGCGTACCCAAAGCTGGTGAAGCGGTGCACGCGGCTCTTGGGCACGAACAGCTGTACCGCCAGGGACTGGATAATCAGGTCATTCCACCGACTCATGAACATAAGGCCTGACTCATCGAGTTCGTGGAGCAAGTTCTGTATATCTGGCTCCAGGAAGCGCTCGATGTTGGCCACAAAGAAGTTGTTATAGAAACCGAAGAAATCCTTGCCGCAGTTCTCGTGCAAGAAGCTGCGTTCGCGGCATGCGTTCGCCTCGAAGAGCCACTTTGGCTGCAGCTTCATTTTGCTCACGTACAGATTGACCCATTCCCACCACTTGTCGCCATAATTTCCGTTGCCGTCCCAGCCGCCGCGCTCCATGGCCACATTTCGGTACGCGTAGTCGAAGCCGCGCGAGCGCATGAAGGAGAAGAGGTTGAAAGGGATCTCACTCAGCAGGAGCGAGTCGTCGTCGAGCCGGCACACCCACTTGTACCCCATATCGTGAAGCGTCGGCCAGATCCGCACGGCGTACCACCGGATCATCATTCGGTATCCATCCGACTCTGTCGATCTCCAAGCGGAGCGGTTCGACAGGGCCAACCACTCCGGGTAGACCTTCCAGTTGTCGCCCTTGAGGTGCAGGAAGCGGATTTCTCTCCGGCCCGCGGCAACGGCCTCTTGTGTCTGGGCATCGAAGTCGCCCGAGTGACAAATGCGCACGTCGTCCCGCTCTCGCTTGTTGTAGTAATGGTAAAAGTAGCGCAATGTCCGCCTCAGGAGCGCCACCGAGTCACGACCGTATGAAGAGTGGTTACCGTTCTGCGCCAAGATCACAAAAACACCCCGCCCGCGCTCGGCGTGCATCCTCTCAGCGCTGCTGCCTTGGCTCGCTGTTCCGTTAAATTCCGCAGGAGCGCTGGGAATGACGGCTTCCTGCGCGGCACACTCAGCCGTCTCGCGATGCAGACCGATCTCGTAGCAGCAGATACTCGGGTCTAGACCAAGCTGGGCGAGAATCGGATGGACAGTGCGGTCCCACGCTGCGCCTGGATTGGCGTGCAGGTACCAGAAGCGGAAGCCCATCTTGACGACGTAGAGATCCCAAAAGGCCGCCATGCGCCTCAGGTCAGCCGTGGTGTTCATCTGCAGCGTTCGCGACACGTGTATCTCCAGGATTATGGTGCAGACCTTTTCAAGTACTGAGGGCATGCGAGTTGCGGCGTCGACGAACGCCTCCCATTCGCATCCTTCGCAGTCGATCTTGAGAAGCTGGATGAGCCGCGTGGTGTGACCGAGCCTCTCGCGAATTGCGTCGAATGGCAGCACCTCACCACCGAGCGCTCCATAGCCTGCCGTTACAAGGGAGCCCGCTTTTCCGCGGAGCGCGCCCAGCCCCATGAAGTGGAAGTGCACATTCTTGGTCTTATGCGCCTCGTGAGCAGCCCGCGTCCGGGTCGTCGGGTCGAAGGCGTGCACCTCGAAGCCCCTCGATGCGGCCCAGTCTTCAAAAGTCCACTGGTTAGCGATGCCAAACGAGTAAACGAGCCTACCCGCCGCTGCCACGGGGAGATACGAATCGCACAGGAGCGTTGCATCTGACTCGCATCTTCCCAGTAGAGCTTTGCGTCTGTTGCAGGCCGTCGGTGCCTCAATCAACGCGCTCGGACACCGCGATGTGCTCGGGTCCTTGTTGCAACAGTGGGCCCACATGGGGTGCGCGAACCAGCTGGCGCTCGGACTGCTCACCCACCACCCCGCCGTCTCGATGCACGGAGCATTGACCTGTACCGAGCGCCACAGACCTTTGTGTGGGTTGCGCCACAACATGGCCTCCTCCGCAGTGAACCCGTCCGCCAGCGCGGTCCTGAGCGAGCGCGTCGCTTCGAGGCTTGGGCAAGCCTGGAACCCCGCGAGCACGCTCACAAAGTCGACCAGCTGCGTTAATGCGCTGGCTGGCATTGAATGAAATACCCACTGCGTTGCCAGGTATTGAGTCAACGGGTGGTCTGGTGGGGCGCAGGAGCAGTTGTACGCTGGGAGACCAGGCGGATGTCCGCAGCGCACCCTGTGCCCTGCACAACGAAACACGCCTCTGCAGTTTGCGACCCACATGCTTCCGCGCGCATGGTCACACCCAAAGCTTCGCCCATGCTCACACTGCGCCTTGCTCGTCTGCCTCACGAGCTTGCAGCCCTGCAGCCCTAGTCTGGCCTTCACAGGAGCGGTCGGGAGGGCCGTCGCGTCGGGCACAACGATCGAAGAGAGGAGCCCGTCAGAGCCGCGCGAGGAATAGGCGAAGGCGCCGCCGCTCGCGCCCGCGATGAGGCAGGTGAAGACGGTGCAGAGCACGTTGTGCCAGCAGAGCTTGGGCCACGAGAGCCAGCCGGAGGCGGAGACGGAGCTCTTCCGCGTGGCAGTCGTGGTCGTCTTGGGGTTGACCGTCTTGGGCTTGACCGTCGCGCCCTGAACAGGGGCGCGATACTGGCTGTGAGCGGTGAGCAGTTGGCGGAAGCCGCACAGGCGGCGAGAGCACCGAGTTTGTGGCCGACGGCGTGGAGCCGCGGGGCGCCTTGCCATGCCAGGCGCTCGCCGCCGGGGCGGGCTCCTCCTCCGGAAACTTCTTGATCGACCGCAGCGTCTCGACCGCCGCCGGCTTGAGGGCCGTGGCGACCTTGGTGGCTGGCACCGGGTCGTTCTTGATGGCCGGTGCCGGTGCTGGCGGTGCCGGTGTCGCCGGTGTTTTTGCCATCCTTGAGCGAGACGGGCTCGCAGTTCGAGTCACCGTTCACAGTTGTGGCTGCGAATTGGACTTGGCTAGGTGGGATGCAAAGGCCGACAGGGGAACGCGATTTTATTTTTCTTTTTGTGGTGTCAAGGGCGCCTAAAAGAAGGCGCCACCGCCCGCGTTTATGTATGCTATGACTCGGCTTTTCAAACGCTGTTGCAATGCAACACACACAGGTACAGTTCTTCTCAGTACTTTACCATCTCACTCACGCGCTGCTGCGTCCACAAGTGCCAAATCATCTCGCCGTAAATGAAAAGGGCAAGTCCTCCTCCTCCTCCCCACCGCCCTCCGTCGCCGGAGCGCGCGCCCCCACCATCAGCCGGCCCAGCTCCGCCTGCCAAGCCCACGCCTCACCCGCGCCTTCCCTCGCGGGTGCCGTCGCGCCGCGCGCGCCCAACTCTGCTGGCACACGGCACGCGTCGTCATTCAGCCGCGGAGAACAGGCGGTGCTGTGCGCGAACGCGCGCGATCTCGTACTTTCAAGGCTGGATCCGGCCATTCCAAGGGTATACCTTTGAGAATCCCCAGCGTCCCTCCCTCCTAGTCACAATCTCAATATCTCGACTCTCCAACACGAAGTGCTGCGATCGGGGGTGGCCCATTTTTTCCCTTCCCCCTCGGGAGAGGGCCGAAGAGAGGCGCCCGTGGGGACCCCGCAATTCCATTCCCCCCTCGGAGGGCCGGACTGAGGCGTCGAGGGCCCCGCTCTTTCCTTCGCATAGTGGCCACTCTTCGGATCGCTGGTCGAGCGACCCGGGGCGGATGCCCCGCGCGCCTGACCCAGGCGCGAAAACGAATCTGCGAGGCGTGGCCGCTCATGCGGCCCGATGGGGAGGAGCGGGGCGGACTACGGGGATCGGCTTCTTACACAGCCCTTCCCTGCAGCGAGCCACCTCCAACCCACCCGCGCTAGGTCTCGGGTTTGACGCATGGGGTCACTCCCGCGAAACTCGTGAACTAGCCGGGGCAGTCGGAGAAGGGGCAACTCCGTGCACTGACGGTCGGCCGCCAGAAAACACGCCTGCGTGGATCGCGTCACACCAATCCTCTCGCTACCCAACGCGGCCAAAGGATATGCATAAAGGACAATCCTGGGGGGGGTTGTTTTTTGCTGTGCACGGCGTCTCTTGGAGCCGAGAGAACCTGTCGTCCGGACCGGCCGTAAACGTGTGCTCTGCGGCTCTGCTCTCTGGCTGCAGCTCGTCCCCCGGGACCTAGTACGGGTCAGCCCCGCGCGACCTCGGGAACTAGCCGGTCCCCGCGTCCCTTGAGGCTGGCTGCTGCTCCGGTGGTCACGCTGCCCTGGACGCTGGGGAGCGTGGACTCGCCTCGTCGAACGGGCACAGCGGCGCCGCACGATGGCGGGGGTCGCAGTGTGCATCACGGGGCAGCTGCGAGCGTGGAGGCTGGTGGCAAGCCATCTGGTCCAGATCGTGCGGCCGCGGAGCGGTGCGGCCGACGCCTTCTTCTGCGGTCCGCGCGACAGCGACTTCCTCTCAGCGCGCGCATTCTTGCGGCGCAAGCTGCTGGTGGCGGAGACAAGCATGCTCGTCTACGCGAGCGCGGTGCGGGTGGCTCCCAATGCCACTTGCACAGCTGAGCGCCTCCTCTCTGCGTGCGACCGGGGCAACTGCAGCCGCAACGGGCTCCTACAGTTCAACGGCTCGGCGCTGCCACGGCTGTCGCGGTGCGGGTCCAGATCGCCCACGGAGTGCAGCGGCGCGCGCTCCTTCCTCGTGCAGAGCTTCCAGCAAGCGGCGTGCCGGCGCATGCTTCTCGCTCGCGAGGCGCGCGACGGGCGCCCGTTCAGCGCGGTCGTCCGCCTGCGTCCCGACACGGTGCTGCTGCAGCGAGGGGCGCTCGAGCAGCTGCACGGCATCCGCCCCGCGCCCGCCGCGCACAGGGTCCTCCATCTGTGCGACTACCTGCAAGCGGGCGGGCGCGACGCCATGCTCGCGGTGCTGCGCACGATGGCGTCGTACGACGCGGCCGCGGCGCGTGGGCAGGTCATGCCAGACCTGTTCGGCGTGATGGCCGCGCTCGCGCAGGCGGTCAAGGCGCCCTTTGAGAGGCTGGCGCTGGCGGGGAAGCCGCTGGCGTGCTGCCTGGCGCGAACGGCGCGCGACCCTGCCAACCGCTCCTCCACATGCTTCGCCGTCGTGTGCGAGAGCGCGGGGTTCGGCCTGCGAGCCGACACGCCGCAGCCTGGCGCCCCCACGCGCCAAGCGTCGGTCACGGGGTACAAGGCGATCACGGGTCCTGGGCCGGACGGCCTCTGGGCGGCCGCGCGCGGCCTCGGATGGCGCTACGGCCCGTCGGCGTGCGGCGTGTGCCGGCCGGGGAATGAAAGGAAGCGGAGCGGCGTGCGGTGAGGTCCCAAGCTGGTGGTCGTTCGGCACAACTATGGTCACTCTGGGAGACGTCCCTAAACCCCAAAAAGCACGATTCTGAAGTTGGGCCCTCTGACTGCACTCCAAGGCTCGTTGAGCGAGTATATGGGCCACGATGTCTCAAAGATGAGGGGTTTTGACTCCTATAGGCTCCTGACGCTATCCCTGGCAGCTCTAATGACCGGGATCAGTAGTGCTATGATAGAGGGTGCCCAGACTAGCGCAGGAGCTGCCACACTCGCCCGGACCGTCCCCCTCTGGGGCCGGTTCCGCAGCCAGCGAGAGCCGACAGCGGGGCCGTGCCGCGGGTGCCTACTGCCGAGTGCCACAAACACTGCGCCGTCCCGCCACCACCTACAGGCTGTCTTGTGTGATGGTTGGGATGTCCAAACGCCACCATCTTGGCTCTTGCGACCTCAAACCCGCGAGCTGTATGGGTGGTCCTGACGTCGACAGACGCCCGATGACCACGGTGAAGCTGAGCCGGAACGCGTCGACAAGTCTCGTCTGAGCCCGTGGCGGTCGCCGGCTGAGTCGCTGTGCACGGACTGGTACCTCAGGCGTCACCTCCGCAGCCTCAGTTCTCAAACTCCACCACCTCCGCCAGGACGCCGTCGGTGGCACGTTCGGCGGCGTACTTTCTGCAGCTCCATCTCGAGTACGGCGTCGAGCCTACTCACTCCTGTTGGTTCGGCACACTCGGTGGGGTCCACTGAGTGTGCCGAACGCGCGAGCGGTGCGTCCCGGCAGCGCGCGCAGGCTGCGGAGCTGCAACAAACTCGAGACACGCTTTTTGGGACATTTTCGACGCTTTTGGCCCATATACTCGCACAACAAGCCCCAAGTGCTCCAAGTGCTTCGCGTTTCCTGGCGAACGCGCACCCCCCAGGGGGCTAGGGCTCTCTCTAGGTCTAGCCCGCAACCCGATCCCAATCGACGTGTACACCCTGGCGGTTCGGTTGCGGTTCGGGTTCTTGTTGTGAGCTGTGTGTGAGCTGTACACGGAGCGAGGGTCTGTACCGAGGCGTACAGGAACGGTACAAGCAAGACTGCGGCCCCCGGTTGGGACGAGTGCGCGACGCGGACGAACCGCTCAATAAGGTCGGGGCCCCGTCCCTGTCCGCTCTCTGTCGGCGGCCTGAGAGAATTTAAGCAATCCAAAGTTTTTGTTTGTTGCGCCTTGTGACGCGGCATGATTTCTTTCTCAGTGCACGCCAGAGAGAGAGATTTTTGAAACCCAACAAGAAATCACGGCTCTCACGCCAGTCCCGAAAGAAGGAAGAGAAGAAAACAGTCGAACCATGTGGTTAGCGTTAGGTAGGAAGGTGAAGAACAGCCAGGCTCGGACTGGACACCAACGCGGTATGGGTGGACGCGAGACAGATGATGACGACGCACAAACCCGTGCCCATAAAATCAATTTTTTCTTGCAGGGTTTCCACTGTGACTCTTCAAATAAAAAGAATTCTGTGTCGCACAGTGCACAGCTGGCTGGACACAGCTGGCTGGACTGCTCCGTCATGATCGCGTGCGACGGGTGCGCCGACTGGTTCCACCCGGCTTGCGTCGGCATGACCATTAAGCAGGCCGCCGCACTAGATTCCTACGTGTGCGGCCAGTGCAAGCTGTGAGGCACTGCGCCTCGCGCCTTGCGCTGCTGGAAGGAAGCTCTCGGTAGCTGCCTAGGCGTCCGGAGTGGAGCCGTCGAGAGCGCGGCCATTGATCCGAGACACTTCCTGTGAAGGCCGGCTTGTGGAAGCAGCACCACACCTGTGCATCCGACACCGTACATGCACATGTACATGTGACTGCGAGACAGAGGGGAGGGCTCGTAGCGAGCGGGCCGCCAGCAGCAACACGGCGCGGGCGGCCAAGCTCTTTTCACAGCGCGAAGTGTGAACAGCTCCACGAATATATAATGTCCCAGGCATAGTTGTACGGGTTTGGAATTGCGCAGGAAGTGGAGCTGTGAAGCTGTCCACACTGGTCCACACCAACCCATTCAGGGGAAGCCCAAGTGCAACTCTTCTTTACTTGAGCACTTGAGCACTGGATAGGGTCAATTCCGCATGGTACGGGACCCCTCGATCGTCTCGCCCTCCCTCTCTGGCGTGTTCATTGGGGGGGGTCATAACAAACACGGTACAGGATCGAGGTGCACGCTGCTGAAGCAGTGTCGTCCCCCCTCTCCCCGACGGCGATGGCGGTGTGACCGATCGATCTTCTTTACTACAAACTAGCCAAAAACCACGGTGTCCCCTCTCCCCCATTCTCTACGGGCAGCCATTAGTCGGCCCCCGGGCCGCTGCAGTCCACCTCCCTCTCTCGCAGCCGCCGCCACCGCCGCATCCGCCTCGTCTCTCTCTCCCCTCGCTCGACCGCGTCGAATTCATTGGGGAGCGCTTTCTTCCCAAGGGTGGCCGGAGAGACGCCTGAAGGCCTCTGCCCGCTTCCGATGGCGCTCGTCATGTCGGGCGACGACGTGCAGCAGCTGCGGCAGGAGTACGCCTTTTGCAAGGACGAGATGATTTCGAGCAGCGCCGCCGCAAAAGACATCATCGCATTCACGGAGCAGACGGCGGAGCCGCTCAGACCCGACTATCCACCGTCTCAGAATGCGTGGATCGGTGGCAAGCGAGGGTCCAAGGGCTCGTGCACGATATGTTGATCGGCACGCTTTACATCCTCGCTGTCCTAGAGTGGCCGGGCCAGCCGTCTATGTACTACGAGCGCCTGCAGAGAGAGACCGCCCTGTGAGACTTCTTGCATGTTGGGGTATTTATCTGGACAAAAAATGCTTTCCTTCTCCCACCGCGTCACGCGCCGCCGCGCTGCCGACCGGCAGTACTGTAGTGCCAATGGGGCCTAGCCCTCCGCTCATACAGCATGCCGGCACATCACGGCGCGGCCGCTGCCTCATTCGCCTCTCCTGCCGCCGTCTCCGTCGCCTCTCCGGACGCCTCGTCCACGACGGCGCCGCTTCGCAGCAGGTAGAAGGCGCAAGTGCGCTCGCACAGGTCCGCCACGCGTGAGGCGGCGGAGAAGCCGTCGGGCGGCGGCGCGTCGCCGCAGCCGTCCGCCCACGAGACGGCGCACACCGCGTAGCCGGACGTGTCGACCACGTCGCGGCAAGGCGTGCCGCACACCTCCGCTGCTCGGTCCTCGAGGCCGGCCTCGACGCGCGCGAGTGCCGCCGCCTGCCGCCTCACGTCCTCCACCGCCGCGCGCACCTTCTCGCTGTTCGGCGCCATCCGCTGCGCCGACTCGAAGTCTGCGAGGGCCTCGGAGAGGCGGCCTTGCTGCGTGCGCGCGGTGGCGATGCCCTGCTTCGCCTCGTCAAAGTACTCCGAGTTTGCGAGCGCGCCCTGGTAGAAGAGGTCGATCGCCTCGGCAGGTCTCGACTGGCGAGCGCTCAGCCGGCCGAGGGAGAGGAACGGCCGCGCGTCGGTCGGTGCAGCCGCAGAGGCGCGTCGGAAGGCGAGCTCCGCCGCGGCCTCGTCGCCGGTCGAGAGGCGCGCCTCGCCCAAGTTGAGCCACGGCAGCGCCTCGGACGGCCGCAGCTCCGCCGCGTGCTCGTAGGCGTCCGCCTCCTCGCCGAACCGCTCCAGGTCAGCGAGTGCGGCGGCGAGGTTCACCCACGCGTCGAAGTCGCGCGGCACGAGGCGCAACGCGGCCTGGTACGCCTGCACCGCCTCGGCCGTGCGGCCCTGCGGAGGGGCGGCGCCGAGCGAGAGGTGGGGAGAGGTGGGGAGAGGTGGGGAGAGGTGGGGAGAGGTGGGGAAAGGTGGGGAGATACGGGGAGATACGGGGAGATACGGGGAGATATGGGGAGATACGGGGAGATATGGACCTGCGCGCGGAGAGCGACGCCGAGCGAGAAGTGGGCGTCCGAGTCGAGCGGCAGCAGCGCCGTCTGCGCCTTGAGCTCCTCCTCCGCCTCTGCAGGCCGGTCGAGGCGCAGCAGCGCGTCGGCGCGGTTGGCGTGGCAGAGGGAGCAGTGCGGGTTGAGGCGCAGCCCCTGCGCAAACAGCCGGTCCGCCTGCTCGAGCTCGGGGGCAGTCGGCGACGGGGCGAGCAGCAGCCGGTTGCCACGCTCGTTGAGCCGCCTCACGTGCTCGACTCTGTCTGCGAGCGCGATGAAGCCGCCGAGGACGTACCGGAGGCCGGAGGAGACAGCGTGGCCCGCATGCCGCACGGCGCCGGGCCGGAAAGTGACCATGCCCTGCTCCATCGGCAGCACCTGTTCACAGCTGGACGTGTGAAGAGACGCTGTTCACACCTGACCATGCCCTGCCCCATCGGCAGCACCGCCCGCAGGCTCTCGAAGTACGTCCCTCCCCCCTCGAACGAGGAGGAGGGCGAGAGCGCCACCGTAAAGGCGAGTAGCGCGTCGTCGATGTGGACGTCGGTCGCGGGGTGCGACTCGTTGTACTTGAGGATGGCGACCGAGTGCGCGCGCAGCTGCGCGGTCGAAGAGACGTGCGCCGGGAAGAGCTGCGCCAGCGCCGGGTACAGCTTCGTCTCGAGCGCGCCGTTGAACCAGCTCAGCACACCCGGCATCTCCCTCACCCAGGCCTTGCCAATGCGGTACTTGCCCGACTTTGTGCTCGGAAGGCCGCCCCCCTCCGCCTCGGCCAGCGCCACCACCTCGTCGCACTCGGCCGCCGAGAAGAGCGGCGCCTCCGTCACGTAGATGGAGTGCTCCTCCTCGCCGGCGCCCTCGACGATGTCGACCAGCGGGCCGTGGCCGAGCGGGTGGCGGCTCATCTGGGGCAGAGCCACCTCCGCCGCCGCATCGCCGCAGAAGAAGTGCCGGCACGCCTCGGCAGACTCGCGGTTGTGGTCCACCTCGTTCGCAGAGAGGGCGTCAGAGAGGGCGGCGTCGGGCGCCTCGGAGCAGCTCGCGCCGCCTGGGTCGACGCAGACGCGCTCGGCAGCCACGGCCGCGGCCAGCAGCGCGACGCCCATGACGAGACTGGGATGGCTCATCACAGCAACGCGCGTTTACACTCGCGGGAGCGGTAAGCGGAGGCGTGTTCACCCGCGGCGAGGCGCAAGAGGCAATGGAAGCCGCAATGAAAAGCACGTGATTTTTCTTTGTGAGCCGGTATGGTGCCAGTACGCGCCAGTCCGCGCCCTTGTCGTGCCAGTGTGCTGTGAGAGAGGCTTGTATTTTAAGAATTCTTTCTCTAAATCGATATTCCAAAGTTGGATCGAAACGGAAGAGTTATGAAGTCAGTCCCGGCATCCGCGGGACGCAGCAGCCAGCAGGGTCAGCAGCAGCTCCCCACACACCCACACTCTCTCTGGTGTCTAAGAGATGCTCGCAGTCTGTGGCATTGAGCTATGCCACTTTCCCGCGCCACCGCCCACCCTTCGTTCGGCTGTGTGAGCAGCTCCCGGCGGGACCTCGAGGGACTGCACGCGCGCCCGCGCGGCGGGGCCCAGGGGCCCAGCCCACAGCCATGATCGTTCACAAGAGAACGCACCCCAGAGTACGAGAGACCCTTCCCCATGGCTGTCCTTGCGCCAGCTGTCCTTGCGCGCGGGCTAGGCCGCCTCCCGCGCCCTGGCCCTCGCAGCGGCAACTGACGCGCGCCTCGCCTTGGCTGCGGCGAGCGCCGCCTCTGCCGCCGCTACTGCCGCCTCGGCCGCCTCGGCCGCCTCCTCCGCCTCTGCGGCAGCCTCCTCCTCCTCTGCGGCCGCCACGGCCGCAGCCTCCGCCTCAGCCTGCCGGCGCGCCTCCGCTGCCGCCTCCTCGCCCTCCTCCTCGCCCGCCTCCTCGCCCTCCTCCTCGCCCTCCTCCTCGGCCGCCTCCGCCGTCTCCTCGTCACCCTCCTCCTCGCCCGCCTCGCCCGCCGCCTCTCCCAGCGCCTCCGCCAATCCCGCGACCGACGTCTCCGGCGTGATGCCGAACCGGATCCTGTCCTCGTGGAGCTCCGCGAGAAGCTGGAGCAGCCCCTCCCTGTCCAACGGCGCGGGCTTGGCTGCCGCTGCCTCCGCCGGCGCCTCGGACTCCTGCGACGGCCCAGCCCCGCCGCTCCCGCCGCCCTTCTTCTTCTTCTTGCCCTTCTTGCCCTTGGCGCGCTTCTCCGCCTCGACCTCCGCCAGCAGCTCCTCGGCGTGCCGCGCCGCCTCCTTCTCCGCCGCAGCCCGCTCCGCCTCCCTCTCCGCCGCCCCAGCAGCCCACGCCGCCTCCTTCGCCGCCTTCTCGGCCGCCGCCTTGGCCGCCGCATGCTCCTCGAGGGCGCGCACGCACTCGGCGTGGCCCTTCTCCTTGGCGTACTGCAGCGCGGTCTTGCCCTTCTCAGAGCGCAGCGTCATGTCAGCGCCCGCCCGCAGCAGGCAGAGAAGGGCGGCGGGATGGCCGTTGTGAGCGGCGAGCATCAGAGCGGTGTCGCCGTTGTTGTCCTGCAAGTCGATCTGCGCGCCGTGCCGCAACGCCAGCTCGACCAGCTTCTCGCGGCCGTTCGCGGCGGCAAGGCTCAGCACGGTGCCACCGTCGCTCTTCTGCAACGAGACATCTGCACCGCGCCGCAGAAGCGCCTCGGCCAGCTCCTCGTGGCCATGGGCCATTGCGACCATCAGCAGCGTCATGCCGCTCACACGAGAGCCGCAACCGAAGGTGTACTCGAACGTCGCGTCGACCCACCCGCCGCCGTCGAGCCACGCCAGCACCGGCGCCTCGTCGTCTCGCACAGCCGCAAGCACGACCTCCGTTGGCACTGCCTCGCTGCCCGGCGTGGCCCCCGCGCCCTCGCCGCTCGAAGCAGAGGCCGCGGCACTGGCTCCCGCCTCCGCCTCGCCTGCGGGTGCGCCGCCTGCCCCTGCGCCGCCCGCCTCGGCCGACGGCGCCTTGCTCCGAGCTGCCGCCACCTCACCGAGATACGTCCTGACGGCCTCGCCGCACTCGGTGTGGCCCTCCTCCTTGGCAATCTGCAGCGCCGTCCTGCCCGCCGCAGTGCGCAGCGCCATGTCTGCGCCCGCGCGCAGCAGGCGGAGCACGACGGCAGGGCGGCCGAAAAAGGCGGCGCCCGTGAGCGCAGTACCGCCGAGATTGCACTGCAGGTTGATCCCTGCGCCGTGCCGCAGCAGCATCTCGGCCACGCGCTCGTGGCCTTTGGCGGCGGCGGCCATCAGCGCGGTGACGCCGTGCTTGCGGTCCTGCAGATTCATCCGTGCGCCGTGCCGCAGCAGCATCTCGACCACCTGCACGTAGCCCGAGAGGGCGGCGACCATCAGCGCCGTAATGCCCTCGCTGTTTTGCGCGTCCGCCTCCGCGCCCCGCTTCAGCAGCAGTTCGACCTTCTCTTTGTGACCGCATTCGGCGGCGATCAGCAGGAGCGTCCAGGCATGCACCCCGCCACGCACGCACGTCGCATCAACCCGCCCAGCCCCGCTGAGCCACAGCTGCACCTCGTCGACCTTGCCGTCCTGAGCCGCCCTTGCAATCCTCTTCGGCAGCGCGAGCGGCGCAGAAGTAGCCGCCGTTGAAGCGTGCCCGCGCCGGGACGCGGCCGAGCCAGCCTTCGTTCGGCCGAGCATATAACGGGCGGGGTTGCCTTTAATTCGCGCAGTTTTAATTTTGATGGCGGGAGGCCTGTTTTCCTTCTTTCTTCTTTCTGGGACGACAAGGGCGCGGACTGGCGCACTCTAGCACACACATCTGTGTCTTGTTTTGCCAACATACCTACACACACATCGGAGAGAGTTACAGAGAGAGAAGAACAGCGATCGCCACCTCGCTGGCCTCTTCGCAAGGACAACTTCAACCTGCTGCTCCACGAGACGTTCGGCGGCGGCTTCTCGCCCATCGCCGTTCTCAAGCTGCGCCGCCTCGCGCGCAAAGTCGCGCGCGGCAGCGTTGACCGCACGGCCTACTCGGAGCTGCGGCGAGCTGCGGCGAGCAAAGGGCGACAGGCAAATGAAGGTCGGTTCGGTCTCTTTGACGGTAGGGTCTTCGAACACGATGGCAGTCTCCCGGCCCTCCACCCAGCTCCCCACACACTCTCTGGTGTCTGAGAGATGCTCACCCTGTGGCATTGGCTATGCCACTTTCCCGCGCCACCGCCCACCCTTCGTACACGGCTGTGTGGGCAGCTCCCCGGCGGGACCTCGAAGGACTGCACGCGCGCCCGCGCGGCGCGGGGCCCAGCCCACAGCCACGATCGTTCACAAGAGAACGCACCCCAGAGTACGAGAGACCCACTGCGCCAGCTGTCCTTGCGCGCGGGCTAGGCCGCCTCCCGCGCCCTGGCCCTCGCAGCGGCAACTGACGCGCGCCTCGCCTTGGCTGCGGCGAGCGCCGCCTCTGCCGCCGCCGCCGCCGCTGCCGCCTCTGCCGCCGCCGCCTCTGCCGCCGCTACTGCCGCCTCGGCCGCCTATGCCGCCTCCTCCTCCGCCTCAGCCTGCCGGCGCGCCTCCGCTGCCGCCTCCGCTGCCGCCTCCTCGCCCTCCTCCTCACCCTCCTCCTCGCCCTCCTCCTCCTCGGCCGCCTCCTCGGCCGCCTCCGCCGTCTCCTCCTCGCCCTCCTCCTGGCTCGCCTCGCCCGCCGCCTCGGTCTCTCCCAGCGCCTCCGCCAACCCCTCGACCGACGTCTCCGGCGTGATGCCGAACCGGATCCTGTCCTCGTGGAGCTCCGCGAGAAGCCGGAGCAGCCCCTCCCTGTCCAACGGCGCGGGCTTGGCTGCCGCTGCCTCTGCCGGCGCCTCTGACTCCTGCGACGGCCTAGCCCCGCCGCTCCCGCCGCCCTTCTTCTTCTTCTTGCCCTTCTTGCCCTTGGCGCGCTTCTCCGCTTCGACCTCCGCCAGCAGCTCCTTGGCATGCCGCGCCGCCTCCTTCTCCGCCGCCGCCCACGCCGCCGCCCTCTCCGCCGCCCCCGCAGCCCACGCCGCCTCCTTCGCCGCCTTCTCGGCCGCCGCCTTGGCCGCCGCATGCTCCTCGAGGGCGCGCACGCACTCGGCGTGGCCCTTCTCCTTGGCCCACCGCAGCGCGGTTGTACCCTTCTCAGAGCGCAGCGTCATGTCTGCGCCCGCCCGCAGCAGGCGGAGCACCACGGCGGGATGGCCGTTGGCAGCGGCGAACATCAGCGCGGTGCCGCCCTCGATGTTCTGCAGGTTGATCGCCGCACCGCCGGATCAGAGTGTCGACAATCCGCTCGTAGCCATATTGGGCGGCCTCCGTCAGCGCAGTGTTGCCACTTTCGTTTCCCTGATCGACCTCCGCGCCGTGCCGCAATGCCAGCTCGACCAGCTTCTCGTAGCCGTTCACAGCGGCGAGACCCAGCGCATAGCTGCGGCCGGCGCTGGTCAGCAATGAGACATCCGCGCCGCGCCGCAGAAGCGCCTCGGCCAGCCCTGCGTGGCCATCGACCATTGCGAGCATCAGCAGCGTCATGCCGCTCGCACGAGAGCCGTCAACAAAGGTGCACTCGAACGTCGCGTCCACCCGCCCGCCGCCGTCGAGCCACGCCAGCACCGCCGCCTCTTCGCCTCGCTCAGCCGCGTCCACGACCTCCTTTGGCACTGCCTCGCTGCCCGGCTCGGCCTTTGCGCCCTCGCCGCCCGAAGCAGAGGCCGCGGCACTGGCGCCCGCCGCCGCCTCGCGTGTGGGTGCGCCGCCCGCCCCTGCGCCACCCGCCTCGGCCGATGGCGCCTTGCTGCGCGCCGCCGCCACCTCGCCGAGATACGTCCTGAAAGCCTCGACGCACTCGGCGTGGCCCTTCTCCTTGGCAATCTGCAGCGCTGTCTCACCGTCCATGTCGCGCAGCTTCATGTCTGCGCCCGCCCGCAGCAAGCGGAGCACCATGGCGGGATGGCCGTAGAGGGCGGCCAGCATCAGCGCGGTGCCGCCGTTGTTGGCCTGCATGTTGATCTCTGCGCCGTGCCGCAGCAGCATCTCGGCCACCTGCTCGTGGCCGTTGGCGGCGGCCATCATCAGCGCGGTGATGCCTGCGCTGTCCTGCAGGTGGATCCCTGCGCCGTGCCGCAGCAGCATCTCGGCCACCTGCTCGTGCCCGTGGGCGGCGGCGGCCATCAGCGCCGTATCGCCTTCGCTGTCTCGCGCGTCCGCCTCCGCGCCGCGCTTCAGCAGTAGTTCGATAATCTCTCTGTGACCGTGTTCGGCGGCGATTAGCAGGAGCGTACAGCCACTCACACCGCGATGCACGCACGTCGCGTCAGCCCGCCCAGCCCCGCTGAGCCACAGCTGCACCTCGTCGACCTTGCCCTTCTCCGCCGCCGCCTCGATCCTTTTCGGCAGCGTGAGCGCCGCAGCAGTAGCCGCCGTTGAAGCGTGCCCGCGCCGGGACGCGGCCGAGCCAGCCTTCGTCGGGCCGGGCATACAGAGGGGCGGGGTGTGCAGGGCGCACTTCTGTCCTCCCGCGCTGGCTTCGAAAAAGGGCACTTTTTCGGTGCTGGTAGCCCCCCCAAAACAGGCGCGCGCAGCGCGCCCAGGGGCGCCGCAGGCGCCCCAAGCGGCGCGGAGCGCCGCCGCAGGCGGCGGACAGCAGGTGCGCGAAATTAAACGCCATTTTTGGTTCCGCGGTTTTGCCACTAACATTGAAATCCGGTACAAAACGACTTAGCCGAAACAGCTGACAGACAGACAGAGAGCACACACGTTCGAGACGGGGGTGCGCCGACCGCCGTCGCGGACCCAGTAGAGCTAGATGGTCCCACATGATGCGCCCTTAGCCTCTGAGCTCGTCCTAGACATTTTAGGGAAGCGTGGGCAGACCAGAACGCGGCCACGGCGACGCTCCGAGGCTGTCAGCAGCGCTGGCGGCGATCGTGGCGACGGCGCCTCGCCGCTGCAGCGGCACAGAATCGAGGAAGTGGCGTTGGTGGCAGCATCAATGAGATATGAAGGCGGCCGTAATGCTGGTGGCGCCTTCGAGGGCGGCGGAGAGGGCGGTAGCAGCGACGGCGGTCGAGTCATGTGGCAGGGGTGCGAAGTGCAGCAGGGAGGCTTGAGTTAGCGACGCGGGGCGGTGGCGTGCCAGCAGGTAAGCGGCGGCGGCGGAGAGCAGGTGCGCGAAATAAACGCCAATCTTGAGATATCCATTTTGCACCACCTTTGGATTTCTGGTACAAATTGACTTGTGGATCTTGAAGGCACGCGCAAGAGCGCACCAGGCAAGTTGACTGAACCTCGGATCTCGCTGCCGCTAAGCGTGGCGTCGATTATCAAACGAGCGGTGACAGTAGCGGTGGCAGCGGCGGCAGCGTCGACAGGAGCACCTACTGCAGCGTGAAATGTGAGCTGGGGGGCGGGAGGCAGATGCAATAGGAGCGGGAGAGTGAGATCGTCAGCCAGCACGGCAGACCTTTACGGCGCGGCTGCGGGCGCGTTTGCAGTGACATACGATCCATGTGGTAGCAAAGGCACGGCGGGAGTAGCGTATGCAGGCTGTGAGCGAGGGTGGCGCGTCGCGAGTGGCGGTGCAGCTAGTCGGTGGCGCGGGTGCTGGCGACCGGCAGAGAGATGCAGCCGGCGCGAGAGATGAACCCTGCGGAGAGGCGAGGTGACGGGCGAGCCGCGACGGTGGGAGAGGGCTGAGCATCGGCTTCACCGGAGGCACAGGAGCCTCGCACGCCCGACCGTGACGAGAGCGCCCTAACGCTGCTTGTTGAAGCAGCGTTAAATCTTTTTTCGTGCTCGAGCTCGTGGACTATGGTGTCAGCGTCAGAGAGGGCGCGCCGGCTGCGCCCCCCCGGGGCGCCCCCGGCCGCCGCCCGCGCTCTGCAGGTGTCGTCGGGACCCTCGCCGAGACGTGAGCGAGGCGAAGAACGCGCACGTGACCTTTCCGCGGTGCCGAAGCGGCGGCGCGCAGAGAAGAAGAAGAAGCTCCCCAGCGGGCTCGCGGAGGCAGAGGCGCAAGGTGGCGGAATCAACGCTACGCCCCAGCCTTCTACACCGATCCAGCTCCTCGACGAGGGCGAGTCAACCGAGCTCGCGCTGGCGCAGCTTTCGGCAACCCGCTCCGCTCTGCCCCGCCTCCCGCCGCACCCCTCGACCGACGCGGCCGGGCGCCCCCTCGCGGCGACGGCGCCGCGCGACCATCGGCGCCAAGAGCCCCTGCAGCCGTCGGGCGGCTACCATGCCGCGCGCCCCAGCGCCCCCCCGCCAGCGCCGACGGCGCTTCAGAGCCTCGGGTCAACGGACGTCGGCTCCCCCCCCTCCATCTTCGACGTCGCTCCCGGCGTCCGAGCGGCAAACGTGCCGCCGCCGCTGGTGGCGCCCCTCGCACCGGGCTACGCCCTCCTCCCCTCCGCCCCGGCAGGCCCCCAGCCGGCGGGCGGAGAAGGCGGCGCGGGGGGCGAGGTGCCCGGAGGGCCTCTGCCGCGGGGTGCCCCCCCCTCGCTTGCGCCCCTGCGTCGCCACCGCCAAGCGTCAGAACAGGGACAAGGGCGCGGGTCTGCGCGGCCGACAGTCGCCCAGGAGCCTCTCGGGCTGATGCCGCCGCCGCCGCCGCCCCCCTTGGGCCACCAGGGAGCATGGCACCACCCCCCCCAAGGCATAGCCGCGTGCGGCGCCCCCCCGAGCTATTACTGCTCGGCCGAGGACCCGCGCCTGCCTCACGCCTCCTCCGCCGCAAGCGAGCGCGCCGTCACCGCCGAGACGGCTCGCCAGCCGCCGTCCGGGCTCGCGCCTTCCACCGCCCCCGCCACCTCCCTGCCGCTGGCAGGGGTCCCGCCCGCTCCAGGGGTGGAGGGGTCGACGGGCGGGCCCATTCCGACTGGGCTCTCGGGCGACGCGATGCAGGCGCGCCTCCCCCCCCCCCACAGTTCGTCCTCCCCCCTCCCCCCTCCCCTCCGCGAGCCTCGCCACGCCCCCATCTCCACCCTTATTCCTCACATCGCCGTCTGTGTTATGTGGCACTCGCGAACACCCCCCCACCCTCCCTCGCACCCGCTCCTGCCCCCTTCCCCCCACCCTTCTGAAGGCCCCATGTCCCCAGCCCACCTAGTTATTAGACCCAAGCCCGCCTTTGCGGTGCACCATTTCCCGAAAGGGGCCCCAAAAGTCTCATCTTTTGAGACCACTTCCATTCACACAGAGCAAGTCACCCTACCCCCAGGGTATCAGAACCCAGCCACACCCAACCCCCCCCCCTTCCTCCTTCTCGACCCCTCTCAGGGGCTACGCTTCAGGAGCGAGGACCACCCCATCAACCCCACCTTCGTAGTCGCCGCCGTCTGGCGCTACATACCGGATGCCTCGTCCATCAAGAGCCTCGCCTTCGAGCGAATCGTCCATCAGCCATCCAGGGAGGGCCTTGGCCTCGACCTCTACGTCCCAGTGGACGGGGCCGTCGGGCACTTCGCGGACGTCGCCCGGCGCCTCTCCACCCTCTCCCACCCAGTTGAGGGCCAGGAGGGGCGCACCTTCCGAGTCTCGGTGAGCCTCATCAACCCGCGGCAGAACCGCCCGCAGCAGGGCCCTGCCCGCACCCGCTCTCTCGCGATCGCGTTCCCTCCAGCCACCGCCTCTACGGTTGGCCTCAAGGGGGCCATATCCCAAGCCTTCCAAGCCAACGGCTTCGAGGACGCCCAGTTCCGGCCCGCCAAAAGCCCCTCCAACGAGCTCAAGCTCGCTGTGACTTGCGGGACCATCGCCTTCACCAACTACACCGGCTCTCGCGCGGCGAACTTCCACGCGATGACCCGCGAGGGAGGGATCCTCCTCCGCTTCGCTGGAGGGGGAATCGGCTCTGCCTCCATCCGCACCGCTGAGTACGGCATGGACGCCCTCACTCGGGACGAGCTAGGCCTCCGGCCCGGGTGCCTGCACCGCACCACCGAGTGCCCCGGCTGCCTCATCAACAGGCCCCGCCAGCAGCGGAGCGTCCAGCAGAGCCAAACCAGCGCCTGGGCGCTAATGAATCAGCGCCTGGACGCCAACCCTGCCCTCGGCGGACCAGGCCACCCTTCCACCCTTCCGCCCTTAGGGGAGATAGCTCAATCACACATCTCCTCCCTCTTACAGGCGCCTAGCGATCCGCGACCTCATACCGGCCTCGGCATCCTGACCGGCTCCTTCCCCCTCCTCCCCCGGGACGCCTTTATCCTCAGACCCAGCCACCGCGCCCCCCCCCCCAAGCGAGTGGCCCTCGGAGAGCGAGGCCCTTCTTCCCCAGGCCCTGGCCTCCCGGGGAGGCGGAGGGGGAACCCCACATGCCCCAGTGACCGCCGTCGCGGCCGGCGACGGCGAAGGCAGGGCAGTAGCCCGAACGGATGCACGATCTCCTCATGTGTTCTGTCATGCTGGAAGCCACGGTCTCTGTCCTACCCCTCTCCCCCAGTCCTAGTGACTGGCGAGTCCATGTACCTCGAGGTGGGAGGCGAGACGGGGTGCCCCCCCCCGTCTCCCGTGTATCCCCCTCTTCCGATTAAACAACCCACGGCGTTCTATCTCCCATCGCCTCGCGCATGCCTGCCCCCCAAAAGTATCCACTACAGCGAGTGCTTCGACTCCACTCTGGGGTTTCCAGGGGAGGGTCCCACTCTTGTCTTCCTTTCCAACAACATCCGAGGAGGACTCACGGGCAACGCCTGGTGGGACGCCATCTCCGCCGCACGAGGCGAGAAGGCTGACATCATCGGGTTCCAAGAAATCAACATCCAAAAGGACGACCCCCGCCTTGGCTCCCTCGCCACGTCAGCCCTCAACCTGGGATACACCGCATACTTCGCTCCTATACCCAAGGGCGGGACGAGGGGCGGCACTGCCATCCTCGTCAAGACCAGCCTTCAAATCTCCAAAACGACTTTCAATCATATGTCGAAAGGCGGAATATCGTGGGTAAACCTCGCCTTCAGCGACGGCCTCAAACTAAAAGTAGCCAATGTCTACGCTCCACACACAAACAGGAAGGCATTCTTCACCCAGCTCAAAAGGTACGTCACCAAAAATACCGTTCTCATGGGCGATTTTAATTGCGTCCCCAACAAAGATCTTGACCTCCGCCGCACCTCGCGCGCCAACTACCCCAATGACGGGGCCGACACCCTCGAGGAAATTACCTCGCGCTGCGGATTAATCGACGAGATCCGAATCCAGCTGGGCGCAGGTTTTGCGTACACCCACATCCAAAAAGTAATCCACCACCCTCCAGCCCACGCAACCCACCGCCCAGTGCGCGAAGGAGGCGCAGGCGTCCTGCACTTTCGCGCCCACCTCGAGGCCTTCCGAGCCAAGTGGATTCTCATGTACCTAGAGCCGAGAAAGGCGATGTGGAAGCTCATCTTCGACGAATGGCTCCAGCTCCCCAGCCGAGGGACGCTCCTCTCCCCTCTCACTAAGAAAGAAAAGAGAGCAATACTATCGAGACTTCCCCAGTCAGCCTCTGCCTTCCGCGACGCCCTCAAGGCCTTTTGGAGGCTTCGCATCAGCCAACACGAAAAGGTCCTCGGCCATAAGGATCCCGACTCCCTTCGGGCACTTCCCCTTTTTCGTAACTAGCTGAGGGGCTCGCTAAACGCTCGCCGAGCTCCATGCTGTGCAACACCACCTCCTCACTAATCGTCAGGGGCGCGGAGAGCGCAGTGCACTGCGGTGAGGCTGCGCCGCGGGGGCTCGCCCCCTGCACCGCGCTCAGAGCGGCGTAGGGGAGAGGGCGGTCGGTGGCGGCGGCGGCGAGGCGCGAGGCGGTGGCGGCGGTGGTGCGGGCGGCGGGATGACAGGGGAGGCGGCGGGATTGACAGGGGAGGCGGCGGCCACGAGCGGAGCGGCGCGAGAAGGGGGGGGGGGCGGCGGCGAGGCGCCGGTGAGCGAGGCGCCCGCGCCATCAGAGGGACGCGCCGCTGCGAGATGGAGGGCGGCGGTGACGGAGGCGAGGCGCGAGGCGGCGGCGGCGGCGGCGGCGGCGGCGGCGGCGGCGGCGGCGGCGGCGAGAACGGCGGCACCGAGTCTCGGTGAGCGGCGGCGGGAGGAGGAGCAGCGGCGGCGCTCGCTCGCTGTTGACGGGAGCGCTTTTGAGCCTGGGAGCCCATGCCACTGCGACCGGCGTGCCCGGGAACGGAGATCGCGCGCGCGCCGCCACTCACGACGCGCGCGCGATCTTCGCGGAGTCGGGTCCCCAGAGGGAAGCGGTCTTCTCGGCCGACGTCCAGCGGCGCGCAAGGAAGCAGGCGCAGCGGAGGCGGCCTAGCACCGGCTCGGCGCCGGGCGGTTGCGCTGCCCGCGAGCCGCGTCCTGAGCCTCGGCAGCGCGCTGCGCGGCGCGGCGCTCGCGCTGCTGCGGTGCCGAGAGCGGCATGATGGATCGCCAGCTGAAGCTCGAGACTCCTCGGGTCCGCGAGTTCTGGGGGTCACGGGGATAAACGGCGGACGACGCGAGGCCCTTATATCTTTAGATGCTTTCTTCAAAGTCTTGACCAAAGGCGTCGCCTCCGCAGAGGAGGAATGGCACCCCCTTGGATTCTCCACGCTGGGGAGCCTCTTCAACCAGCTCGACGGTACTCCTCTCAGCTCCGAGCAGCTCAAAGCCGAACTTGTGGCGCGCGCCCCCGCCCTGAACGCCAAAGAACGGAGGTCGAGAGCCAAACGGCTCCTCAAGTACCAAGCCAAGATCCCCCTGAACATCAAAGCCTTTTTAGCCAGACCGCGCCCCCCCTTCTCCGCGGACGACCATGTCCTCTTTGAAGACGACCAAGGATACCTGGTCAACGGCCGGTTCACCAGCCCACACACCCTCTACGAGGAGCGCGTCGACGCCAGCGGGTGGCCGTGGACATACTCAACTCCTCACGACCTCTCTGCATGGAGCCAATCCGACATCGACCAGATTGAGCGCTGCGCCGTATGGGGTCACCCCAGCGCCTATTACCGTCCCGTGATGGGACGGCTAGCTGACACCTTCCCACTTGACTGGGGTTGGAGATGGGGTGACTCTGATGAGTGCCACCACCTCTCCGAACTCACTATCAAACGCCTCACCAAAGAATTCACGCACCTTCTCACCAAAGGCACCAAGAGGGCCTCCGCCCCTCCAAACGCCGAGACCGTCTGGGAACAACGCCTCGCAGGAAAACTCGCCTTTCCCATTCCGTGGAAGGAAATATGGAAGTCTAAGGGAACTTTCCTCACCACGCCAAAAGACGAGAATACTTGGTGGAAGCTGCTCCACCGAGCTCTACAGACCCGATCGAGGGATAGCACACTCACCATCCAGTCGTGCCGCCTGTGCGGAAGCGATAAGGAAACCATGCTACATCTCCTCACTTGCCTGAGGGTCCGAAAAGTACAGGACGCCCTCGCGCCGTTACTCCAAGCTGTTGGAGTAAGCGTCACCGACACATACGCCACATGGCTCTTTGGGCTCTGCCCGAGGGGGAAGCTCCTGCGCGAAGCCCCCAGGGCACTGATTCGCATCTTTTGGCGAGTAGTCTACCGCCACATGGTCCGTAAAGAGATTGACCGAGTTCAGTTCGTGACGGAACTCGTCGTCAAAGACATTGCTCATACCTTCATGACTCGCATTCTCCACACTCAAATGGAGCGCCAAAGGTTCAATCTCAAAAGGGTGGAAGCCCAAAACAAAGACAGGCCCAATGACTACATCACCCACTTACCAAGATCACTTGCTGAGCGATACTCTGACATCGGAGTCCTCGACTTGCCCACTGGGTACCTCGAGATCCATGACGGAGTGATTGACTTCCTCAAGGCCCAAGGGGTATGGTCAGACTTCAACTCCCCCGGAAGGGCGGGAGGAACGCAGTAGATCCCATTTGAAGTCGGGCGCAGAACCGACACTGAGGGCGGGCGCAGAACCGTCTCCTTCACCCCAAAAAAAAAAGAAATTGTCGAAAAGGCTCTCCGTCCACCACGCAGGGCGCAGCACCTGCAAAAGAAATCCCTGTAGGGAAGCAGGGATAGCCGTTGAGGAGAAAGGGCGTAATAGATCATTCCTGATAGCCCCGGTATCCGAAGCCTCTCGAGCTTGCTTGAGAGGTCGGCCTCCACCTCGCAAAATAACCCCTCCGTCCACGTGGCAATCTCCCGCGTGCCGAACCGGCGCGAGAGGGAGTATCCGCGGGTCGGGCGGGGGGGCCCCTCCCTCCTGGATGATGATTCTAGCACTTCCCTCCATAAGATAAGGCCACCTCGAATGTGCATAGAGGTGGTCATTGAGAGGGGAGTCCTAGAGACTGAGGGAGTTGGAGGTTATTTTGTCTGTCTGTCTGTTGAAGCAGCGTTAGGGCGCTACCAGCACCGAATGGGTACCCTCCCCGGCACTTTGGCGAAAAATGAACTCGAGGCGGGGTGGACGCGAGACAGAAGACGACGACACGCTCGTCGAGCGACACACAGACACACAGTGTGTGAGTGAGTGACGCGTATTCTTGATACGAAACCACGACGACACACACCAGTCGACTCGCATCGGTTGCCTCCATGAACGGCGGAGCTATTCTCGCGTCCACACCACACACACACACACACACACAGACACACACAGCTCACAAGAAACTCGGCGAGCGGAAAAGAAAAACGCGCTGACCAACTCGGCGAAGTAAAACTTGGTCAAATGGGGGAGCGCGTCCCATGTAACCAAAATATGGTGTGGCGGTCGACTGCAGCAGCTGGTATCCCATGTAACCAAAATATGGTGTCGCGGTCGACTGCAGCAGCTGCGATCCCTGCAGGACAACCAGAATATGGTGTCGACTGCAGCAGCTCCCCGTCCCTGCAGGACAACCCTACGTTGACGACTCGGTCAAGCATCTCGCGGGTGGGCTGGTCCGTGGGTCTCAGCAGCGCTCAGCGTTCCCGAGTGCGGTCGGCGGTGGGAACCGCTGTGTCTGGCCGCGATCAGCGCTCCGCCGTGCTGGCTCGTCGGCACGCGAGAGCGATGGAGGCACGGCTGAACCTTTTGGCGGAGCAGCTCGAGAGGGAGGAGGGCGAGGCGGGAGATGTGAACGTGTATGGGGTCGCGCTGCTGCAGTCCATCGTGCGGCCAAAGCTGAGGACGAGGGTCGCGTGGCTCGCCGGCGCTCTCCTGCTCGCGCTACTTGAGGTGCTCTCGCTGCAAGCAATCGCGTTCAGCACCGGCTACAAGATGTGCGTCTACGATGACGAGTGCCCGTTGGGCACCGCCTGCGTGCGCGACTCCTCCAGCAGTCACGCCTTCTTCTGCGCCGACTGCAGAGAAGTTCAACACGTGAGCACCACCGGCGAGCTGGGCCAGCCAGAGTGGGCTCGGCTCGTCGCGCGGCTGATCGGCACGGGTCGTAAGGGAGCGATGTCAACGTTCACCCCGGCACGCACAAACGACCGCTGGCCAGTGGCGGCGAACTCGAGTGAGTACTGCTCGAACTTCCTCGCCTCGGAGTTCGTGTCGGCGTGGAGAGGGGGGCGGTACTCCGACTTTGAAAAGTGCCTTCACGTGCAGGAGGCGCTGCGCCGCTACGGCATCCTCGACGCGCTGGTGACGATGGTCGCGCTCTTCCTCGTGTGCCTATCCATCTCGGCGGACCGCAAGCAGCAGCTGATGAACCGCCACCTGCGCGAGACGCTGCTGCCGCCACCGTGGCGAAGCTGGCGCGCGTTCGTTTTGCGAGTGATAGAGGGCTGCCTCGACGCGCAACTCCCAGGGGTGTGCTTTGCGCTCATTCTGCTGATCACCGAGGCCGACAGCATGCAAGCGTCATCGACCCTGCTGAATGGCGTCGCCGTGGTATTCATCCTCGTCATCGACGATGAGCTGCCAAAGGTCGTGCTCTCAGCCGTCGACAAGGATGCCGTCGACCAGTTCGCCGCCGCAGCCGGCCATTTCGAGCTCCTCCTCATCATCAAACGGCAGAGCCTGGCGCATGGGAGCGTCAGCTTTGCCGCGCTACTCGGGATGTTTATGGTATGCCTGCACCTGCCCTGCGACGACTTGGTCATGGCCGCGTTTGGAATCTCGACGCTCCTGCCCTTTGCGACCCGGATCGCGGAGGAGATCTGCGGCGTCCAGCTTCGCGCCACCCGATCCGCGCTGGCAGTGTCGGAAGACGAGGGGCGCTTCTCGATGGCCCATCCTCTGCGCGGCAGCGGGATCGCTGGAGCCGTCTGCTGGGCTCTGCTGAAGGGGCTGTTCGATGGCCTGCTCGCGAGCCTGTGCGTGGTGGGGGCTGCTCGAATCGCCTCGGAGACGTACCTGGTGCTCTTGAACCCCAGTGATCGGATTTAGAATGAGTATAGACCGCGGCCGCGTCGGTTTTTTGCTTTATAGAAGACTCTTGTGTGTGTGTGTGTGTATCTCTGTACCGAGATTGCTCGCAGGTACAGACAGGAAGTACAGGTAGCCTTACTAGCGGGGTATACCTTACACGTCTCTCCCCAGGTGACCAGAGCCCCCCCCCCCCCCCGCCCCTTCTCTCTCTCGCTAGTACACATGGAAATTGGAATCGAGCTGGCAGCTCCCGTTTCGTTTACGTTTTGCTGCGAGAAGATGCGATATTTGTGCGGCGCTGCGGGAGAGAGAAACGGGCTGCGAGAGAAGCAAGCCAAGCGTGAATATAACTCCGCGGACCCCCGCGCGAGGCCCCGAGCCCCCGACGCGACTCGACGTGTCAGCAGGTGGGGGCAGAGAGAGAGGCCAGAGCAACCACCCCGAGCACCCGCGCGCACCGAGTACAAGCGCGGGGCCAGAAGCCCCACCGGAGGGGAGCGGGAGGTAGAAACAGAAAGGCCGCACACGGAGAACACTGACACGACGCGGGGGGGGAGCCTGCTCTCCTCTGCGGTAGAGGCGGAGAAACGCGCACAGAGGCCAAGACAGAGCGGGGAGGGAGAGGCGGGCCACCTCAAACTCGTGCGCGTCCTCCAATCGCGACATCCGCTGAGGCGGTCATCTCTCCGGCCCCCTCGTCGGCGGTCGAATCTCCAGCAGCGAGCGCAGGTTGCCAGGCAGCAACTCCTTCCCCGCCTCGAGTAGACGTGTCCGGGCGGAGGCTGGGCTCTCGTCGGGCGCAAACACCTCCGCCACAAAGGACATGAAACGCTGCTGGTACTCCCCGGCGGGTGCGGCCGAGATGCCCTGCGGCTTGTCGCCCTTGACGTACGTCTTGAGGCACCGCTCGCCAACCTTTTCGCACGTCCACGCCTGCAGCACGTCGATGACTCCGAGGAGCATCACCCCCCCTCCGTGCTGCAGCACCGTCTCCTCGGCGCCCTTGGGCTGGCCGCTGATGGCGGCGGCGGGCGGCGGCGAGTCAAAGACGCCGAGGAGCAGAGAGTAGTCCATCAGGTTCAAGTCACGTAGGAACGCGGTGTCCGCCTCGAGCCGCGCGATCAGCTTGGCGCACTGCGCCGCGGGAAGCTTGATCGGGATCTTCTCGCAGCCGTCGAGGCTGGCGCGGACGCGGCGGAGGCCGTCGCGACGCAGGTCGTTGTCCTTGAGGACCTGCGAGCGACGGGGCGGAGTGCTGGGTCGAGGGAGGCGCGCGGGTCGAGGCCCTCAGGGAGGGTTGTGTGGGGGGGGGGGGGGGGGGGGAACCCAATTGGCCGGGGCTTTTCCCAAAGGGGGGGGGGGGGGGGGGGGGGGTCCCGACCCCCCCAGCAGCAGAGCGCTGCTGCTGGGGGGGGGTCCCGACCCCCCCAGCAGCAGAGCGCTGCTGCTGGGGGGGGGGGTCGGCCATGGGCTTAGGTGTGCAGGGGGGGTACCGAGCAGTGTGCGGCCGCTCTACGTCTGGGGGGGCGACCCCCCCATCTTTGTTTACCGATGCGTCCTAGAATGCAAAAACGCATTCTAGGACGCACTTTTCATCTCAAAGATACCATGTGTCTCGGGTACACAGGGCATTCTAGGATGCGACGGCTGTCCTGGAGATAGCCGCGCCGTGTCTTT